TATATATATATGTTTTGAATAACGGGGATGTAACTATAAATATATACGTAATGTTGCATGTAGATGATTTAGTAATAGCAACAACTAATCTAGAAAATATGAATAATTTCAAGATGTATCTAATGAAGCAATTTTCAATGGTCGATTTAATAGAAATTAAATTATATCTTGGAATTCGAATGAAAAGAGAAAATGCTCAAATAACATTAGATCAGACACCGTACATTCAAAGAATTTTGGAAAAATTTGAAATGATAAACTGCAACGCTGTAAGTGACCCCCTTGAAAGTCGATTGGACTATGCAGCTTTAAATTCAGGCAAGAGAATTGAAGCACCATGCAGAAGTTTAATTGGATGTCGTATATATGCCATAGTGTCCATAAGACCTGATTTAAAAGCAGCCTTAAATATTTTAAGTAGATACACAAATCAAAATAACGATGAACTATGGAAATGTCTTAAAAGAGTGCTTAGATATCTAAAGGGAACATTAGACCTTAAATTAGTCTATAAAAGACGTGATTTTGTGAATGCATTGGTCGGTTATGTTGATTCAGACTGGGATAGCAATAAAAATGAAAGAAAGAGTAGTACAGGGTTTTTATTCCAATCATTTTATAACTGTACAATTTGCTGGAACACTAGGAAGCATTTGTATGTGGCAGCTTCATCTACTGAAACTGAGTATATGGCCCTTTTTGAGGCAGTGAGAGAGGCCCTGGGTTTAAAATCATTAGCTACAAGCATTGAATTGAAAATTGATGATCCCATAGTTATTTATGAGGATAATAATGGCTATATCAGCATAGCCAACAATCCAACTAATCACAAAAGAGCTAAGCACATTGAAATAAAATATCATGTTTCCAGGGAACAAATTAATAAGAAATGTATTAAATTGGAGTATTTTTCAACAGGAGAACAGTTGGCGAATATATTCACTAAACCTTTGCCAGCGCTAAAGTTCATGGAACTAAGAGAAAGAATTAATATTAAATATATAACCATGTATTGTTATGTCTGTGAAACATAATTTTATTTTTCAATGGTTTCATTAGGATTTACTGGGTTTCCCTAATCCAAAGCGTCGAATGCTGAACCATATGTTTTATCCCAGGAAACAGTCGAAAGGCGCAATAGACGAAAAGTTATCGAAGTTTAAATATTTAAGGTTGAATATTAAGTTAGAATAAGGACAATTGAATTTTGAGGTTGTTGGTTTTCGGGCATTTCCCCGGGTACAAAATTCACTCCTTCTGAGTTTTATTCTCTCATTTAAGTACGGACAGTTTATTGCCACATTCTCCGGGATTTTCCTTGGTTGTAAAATCAAGGGAAATGTCCACAGTCCTTCCTTAGTTTTTATAATTTTTGGATATTTCCAAGTGTACATCTGCTAACCAGAAGGGGTCAGAAGAAAAAAAAGGAAAAGGAAATATTTGAGGGGGTGGGAATTATCTTGCCCTCTCCGAGGCCACTGAGTCTAACTTGTAATACCTCTTTCAGTCTCTTGTAAATATTCATTGTGTGAAGTGCCTTCTGTCTGTCATGACTTAGAAATATTCAAAATCAAAATCGTCTCTGAAAGTTAAAAAATGTGTTTACTTATTTAATTCTTATTTTAATTCAATTTTTTGAGATTTAAGATTTAATAATCCAACAGTTCGATTTTTACTTTTTCTAATTTTGCTTAAAAAATCAGTAGGAGAGTCTGGAATGAAAATAATAAAATACACATACAATAAAATTGATAATTTTGATAACCGCAGTGTTATTCAATGCAACGTTCATTCGTATGTTTATTTCACGTATTTTGCAGAAAAACTCGCTTCCATGTTGGCCACTCGTTGTTTTCTCTAAGCTCGGAAATGGTGTTACGCAAAGGCATTCAGGCTGGAAAGATAGGCTTCAGAGCATTTGGTACATTTGATGTTATCGTTGTTGGTGGTGGTCATGCTGGAACTGAAGCATGCGCCGCTGCAGCCAGAATGGGTGCAAAAACCCTTTTGGTTACCCATAAAAAATCAACTATTGGTAAGAATTATTTATCACGTTATTAATCATATTTTAGACTGTGTTCATTCGTTATTCATTTTTGTCATAATACTGATCTCTACTGACTAAAGTTGTTGTGTTTGGAATTTATTGAAATGAAATTAAATTAGAATAAGCGAAATCGAACGAGCAAGTCGAACCGATTTCGCAATTCCTCACACGGTTCGCCCGCGGAATGCATCGATTCGACGAATGAATAAAAATTATGAGGAATCAGCAGTTCGGTCAATGCACCCGGGCATTGACCGAACTCAAACCAAGACTGATTTCGGAGGTACTAATCAGTCTCGTCCTAGCTTCATCAAAGAACGTACCAAGGGGCGAACTCCTCGAGATTGTTTGGTACTTGTTTCCGGAACCAGTTAAATTTCTCCTGCCCGGCGCTTACCGATAATCCGAGTAAATTGGGATTAATATCGATCACAATCACGCACATCTCCGTGGTGATCGCTCCCATTATTTTACAAAACCTAACTCCACAAGGATCCGGCAAACGAGGGGCAAAACAACTCGATCCCGCACATCTTAAGTGGAGTTCTGTGCAAAGGACACATTTCGAAACAACCAAATCACTAATATTAAGATTTTGTTTATGTACTAGCTCAAGTGTGAGCCAGATAGTACTAATCTATTGTGAACGAGTGGACGGATGAGTATGAGTGAGGAATGATTTGTAAGTACTTACTGAATATGTTGGTTACTTTCTACCTGATCAAACCCTAAGCTCATTAAATTGATTTCTTCTATTTTTATCTTTATTATTTATTCTTCCCGAAGACTGATTAAGAAGTGCAGATGTGCCCAGCACTTTAAAGTATAAGTATCCACTAAATAAAAATATTATTTTGTGGCTAACAGGTCGATTAGAATCGATTTACAATAATAAATTAATTCTAATTCGCCCGAACCACTACAAAGTAGAGAATCCTAGCCACAACAGTCTGAGAATGTTTGTTTTTTCTGAGTATTTCCGTTCATGAATATGGTCATATTCTCTCTAATAATGTAATCGTATAAAAAAGAATGTTGAAATATTGATAAGGTATAATAACAATAGAACATAATAACCATAGAACATTTGTTGCAATTGTATCCATGATGAAATATAAACTCATGGATTCTTTACCTCTAGGTTTTTTCAGTCGAGTTTTTTCAGTCGATTAGTAATACGACGATTTGTTAAGTCACTGTCTAGTAACATATAGCGCCTGATACATTCGGCTTCGTACGAAGACTTTATTTATTTGATAAATCGTTAAACTATCAACGGAGTCAATTCTCCCTGAGAGATATTCATTTCCAAAACTATCTACGTGGGATCTATTCCTCCCACCAGCGAATCCAATCGCTTGAATCCATTATAGATCAATTCACCCGATTGGGTTGTCATCAGTGATCTATCGGATTTTTAAGTTTGTCAACAGATACATTGCCTAGGAACTAATCATTAATACATGGCTTTGATTGGCAAAATAACTTTCATAAGAATAAAAAAATCAAGTGCTATTTAAAACAGAATAAGTCACCTTCACTGTTGGAAAATTCAACTTCATTTAAACAAATTGTACGCTGCATCCGGTGTCTCTTTTCGAACCTTTCAACTTTCGTCTAAAAATGTTTTCAATCGGTGCTCTCGTTCAAAAGTTATTTGATCGTACGATTTCCACTAGGATACCCTGTATATTCGATCTATTCTCTCAGAGTGACAAGAATGATGAAACAGATATCGATACTATAGTTAGATTATTCGTTATTGTATATGATATGGACTCTATCACATCAACTAGAATGCAAGACTCAACTTTAGTTGCGCAATTATCGGAGGTATTATTATTATTATTCCTATTATTATTATTTATGACATGTATACATTATTCAGGTTTTTAGAGTGTATTTGCGGTATGTTGCATTTACTGCGGAAACTGTACACATACGGACCGACTCTGTCCAGACAGAACTCTCCCGGTAACCAAGGAAAACCATGGGAGACCATGGAAAACCTTGGCCGGCATGGTATCCATCAACCTTCATCGGGAAATAATATTCCTCGGTGATTCTTGGTGTCTAGACTTCCGTTTGATAGTTTCCGAAGGATTAAAATTCCAATGCCCTACGCCGGACTCGAATCCGTGCGTCTTCACACGTCCCGTCGTGCGGCCGGGCTAATGAACCAATTCGGACACCTTCGTCGGTTAATTATTCGTTCTATGATAAATTATATTATTATTATTTCATATTGAACAAAACCTAATTTAATAAAAATGTATTTCGATAAAAATTGCTTCGATAATCTTCGTGCAGAACAATTGGAAAAGCTTAAAATACAGTTTCACCCCATTGTTCCCCAATGATGTATCATACGAGTTATGCATCACTGGATTCCGGGTAATCCAACTAATCCAAGTAATCCGAGTAATATCCCTATCGGGTTGCACCTTCTAGGGTTTATCCCGCCTTTCCCTGGTGAACAATTGCCTGGATAAAACCTGAGCGGGTTAACCTTGCTTATGCATCGTCAACTCCTAATCCGAGGTTACGTGACCTCTACGTAATTTGTATTCAGATAGTGCAACCACTTCCACTCTCCTCGTTCTTTGTTTGCTTCTTTTTCCTTTAGTCTCTCTAAATCTGAGTGAACTCCTCTCTAAGGTCATCTCTTTCTCTGAAACCGATTCCCTCTCTCTCATTTGTATTTAATCAAAAAATGTTTTTTCAAACAATTATTTATAAAGTATGGATGAGACGAGAAATGAAATATTTTTACTACCTACAGGTGAAATGTCTTGCAATCCATCATTCGGCGGAATCGGCAAAGGCCATTTGATTCGAGAAGTTGATGCACTTGATGGTATCTGTGGGAGAATATGTGATCTATCTGGAATTCACTATAAAATTCTTAATAAACGCAAGGGACCAGCTGTCTGGGGGCTTCGAGCACAAATTGATCGAGACTTATATAAGATGCATCTTCAGGCCGAACTTTTTCACCTCCCAGGTCTTACAATACACGAGGCTGCAGTGGAAGACCTTATCCTTAATACAGAAACAGGCGAATGCTGTGGTATTACGTTAAGTACGTATTCAATTCGTAGCGATTCCTTGTGAGTGCATAGTTTCTATTGACCATGAAACATTATAGTGAAATACATTTTTGTATTAATTGTAGAAGACAGAAATCAAATCTTCAGTAAAAGTGTAGTAATCACTACTGGAACGTTCTTGAAGGGACAAATCAATATTGGACTGGAAAAGTATCCAGCTGGAAGACTCGGTGATGAGCCAAGTATAGGCTTAGCAAATACACTCGATAGATTAGGTTTCAAAATGTCGAGATTGAAGACGGGAACTCCCCCAAGATTAAAAAAATCAACAGTTGATTTCTCGAAATGTAATGTCCAATATCCAGACAGCGTTCCGGAGCCATTTTCATTTCTCAACGATAGAGTTTCGATTAATCCAAAAGACCAATTGGTTTGCTATATGACTTTCACGAACGACGCAGTCGCAATGATTATACGAGAGAATTTACATTGTAATTCGCATGTTACGGAGGAAGTTACGGGACCTCGGTAAGTAAAAATTTATGATAATAACAAAATTTAGCGAATCATTCGAATTAAATCGGCTGCTATTCCATTTCTGGCTATTTAAAGGTGATATTTATGACGCTTTTCACGTTTAGTAAGACGTCAACTCTGGTTATTTTGTATGAATTCGCATCTTTTCATCGTCTTGGGTGGGCTCCTTGGTGAACATAGTAAAGTAATCAACATGCTCAATTGTACAATACCATTTTGCCGTGAATGGCCACGTCTACTATGAAATTTTTATTTCAGTGAACGGAGAGGTGTTCATCAGTCGTCTTGGTTTGAATTGTGTGAATATATTATCTTCGTATTTAGTACAGTTTTAGACCACACTTAGAGACTTAATACAGTTTACAATTTTTTTTACTTACCAGACTTAGTACAATTGTTAGACCAGTTGAGACCAGTGGAAATAGCGAGATGTTGTCAGATATCTTCACTTCAAACGTTTTCAGACGTTTTCGTTATATCGGTGATTGTATCTGAACCGATTTTTGAAAATATCTCGGAAACTATTCAATCGATTTTATTTTTTTTTTGAAATATTTGTCACATTGTGTGCTATCTTGATCAAACAAAAAGATGCCCGCGTTCGAAATACAATATAAAGAATGTTTCCTCTTATGACCACAATGTTTTATGTTGAAAATAGGCAGATGGTTTGCTTAGGAGATATTGCGCTTGTTGTCGGAATAGCTACGGATCCATTCAGAAGCTGACTACCAATTCTGTTGGTAGAAATTAAAAATAAAAAAAAAAGCGTAAAGTAATGGGTGAATGTCTCTTTGCAAATAAACTTGGTCAACTGCTTGCTTTAGTGCCCCCTCATTACAGGTATGAAGCAGAGATGCTGAATCGTGCGGCGTCAAAATTATAGGGAAAACAAACATTGTGATGGGTTTCGTCTGAATCGTACTTGTATGTCCAACTCTTTTTGCCTCATCCACCCCCTTTAGTGACTCGCTCCTTTTAAGCTTTCCAATGCAAGAGTGAAAAGAATAAGAGATGAATAAGTTTCGAATCGTTATCATTGGTTTCTAGATAAATTCTGCGTTTTGCTTCTGCTTTTTGCTGACGTTTTGTAAGCGTTGCACTCTGCATCTTCAGGGCAATGAGCTTCGATTCTGAAGTAGGCTTCTTTCTTTGGCCCCTCAGGCGTCTACTTTCCTTGGGTTTAAGGACAGACAGGGGCTTGAGGACTCTGCTTACGTCCGAGTCCCCGCGTGTGTCTTTCCCCTCTCCCTCGAGAACTCCCAGGCTCGGTTCACGCCTCCAGAGCGATCTCCCACCTCCTTGTGGTCTTCCCGGATCATCAATTGGTATCCGGGCTTAGCTCTCGGGCTTAATTCGTAAAGAGGAGCCCAGTCAAGGGAGTAATCTCCGCCCCCGTTAGCAATTCTAGGGATTTGAAGTCGACCTTTCAAACTCTATTTATACTTTTTGTTCCTTTCTTGCAACCTTAGACCCTCCACTCTTCGTTGAGAAGTTCTAGTTCTGCATGGTAAGAAGAGTCAGAGTCCCGGCCACCCCTGCAGGTTTCCTCGGGAAAAATCTCAAAAAATGGCAACTTCACATCGCTCGTGACTTTTTCAAAATTCCATTAGAAAACAGAAAGCAGCAGGTTTGATACAGATCATTCTTGTCTATGAAAAGTCATCTATACGAAGAAAGTCGGTACATTGCTGTTCAATTTGTTGTTTAATTCAACGAAGTCATCAATACACACTTTATATATTTTGTGTCGTATTCATTATGTTTGTACATATTCGCCAATTGATTGTCTCTCTTTTTCATTTAGCGAAGTTCAAGATAGTCTGGACTAACTATATTTTCAATAATTTTTCTTGTAAAAATTATATCGAGAATTACTATTATTATCCTGTTTCCTTTCCTACCTAATTCAAATCCTATCCTCTGATGTCACAAAAAAATCTGGAACGCTATAAAAACTTCTCCTCTTCTATGTTTAAAAATGGTATCTTAAAAAGACGAGTTATTAGATGCAAATGAATGTTATGAGATAAAGTGAAGTTATTAGATGCAAATTTCATGATTATAAATGATCAACCGAAATCTTTATAGGTATTGTCCAAGCATTGAGAGTAAAGTTTTGAAATTTGGAAAATCGGCTCATCAAATCTGGTTGGAACCGGAAGGCTTGAACTCGGACCTAATATACCCTGGTGGCCTGTCATGTACGTTACCAGCTGATAAACAACAAAAACTAGTAAATTGTATACCCGGATTGGAAAATGCGGAAGTAGTAAAACCTGGATATGGTGTTGAATATGATTTTATTGATCCCCGTGAATTGACTCAACAGTTGGAGACAAAGAAAATTTCGCGACTTTTTCTAGCTGGCCAGATCAATGGAACAACTGGGTATGAAGAAGCTGCGAGTCAAGGGCTCATTGCTGGTGTTAATGCCGCTGCTCAGGTGAGTAAATAAGTTAATATGTTGGAATCAACTAATGAATTCGAATATGTGATCTATTAACAACGAGTTGTTTATTGTCTCGATTAAATGTTTTTGCTTATGCTTATATATCTCCAAATAATCGTCTTGAGCGTTATATTTTTATTGTTTATAAAATATATTTATCATTTTCGTCTATTACTTTTGAAGGTATCCACGTTAATTCAGCGTGTTGGGTCCTCAATTTAATGTAATTAGTATTATTTGATAGTTAATATACTGATTCTCATGATTTTTATTTTCATACAGCCACTTTGTCCCCTATAATTTACCTAGCTGCTTCATTCCCTTGTCACTTTATAATTCCTCATTTTTGTTCTAATCGGATCCCGGAAGAATAGATCGAAGTAAATTTTCAAAGTTGAGTAGGTTTTAGTACGTTTGGAAGGTGTACCATTGTAATGACAGTGTTTTAATTGAGAACGACTTTTTCTCTGTCAGTCTACATCGATTAGATGAAATCATTTCGAACTTTGGTTTATACTATATATTCGTATTACTCAAGTTCAGTGATCATTCGTCCAGTAAAGTTCCCCTAATTTGTCAGACCCTGGACGTAACCTTGAGGCGATTTTCTTGGAAACTTAATTGAACAAATTGTTCTCACTCTGTCGTTCGGCAATCGGTAGGAGTAATCGTAGTAGTGATAGAAAGGGAACATAATTTATAACTGTGAAATTGCTTCGTTTTTGGAACATTACGCATTCTTACGAACATGGAGATATACGGAGAGAAATATCTAATCAAAATGACGTGTCTTTTCCGTAATTCCGGAGCGAAATGTGGTTGTAGGAAATCTTACGGAATTATCACGTAATTTCTATCCAAAGTCACGGAATTTATCTGCAGCGTTCCGTAATTGTTATCTGAATTGTCAGTGAAAAATTACGATACTGTCACTTCAATTTTTTCAGTCGATTCCGTAACCGGTAAGCGAACTGAAAGTTTCGTAATTTTTATTAAATATTTCTCTCCGTATGGGAGAACTTTTTGGAAGGAGAACCGGCGAACAGGGGAGGAGTTTGAGAAGAAAGGCAGTGACAAACTAAGAGAACTCTACTGTATTCATTCTGCCATCCAATTATTTTGGATCCGCTATTTGGTATTTGTATATTTATAAATTGGTTGTGCCACATTTTAATTAGCGTCCACAGTTATTATTGCTCTAGTTGTATGTTTTACAATAGTAATATTTTGATCAGTGACACACGAACCAATAATTGAATCAGAATTGGAATGGTGATAAGCAGCAAAATGTCTACCTCAATATATTCTGGAGGGCACTACTTAGTATTCAATGGATCTAGGTCTTCTACAATAAGCAATACTGTTTTTCAATTCATTGTCGTATCTTTTCAAATTATACTGAGTATCAAAGTAAACCCCCAAGTAATCACAGTAGCGATTGCGAAGCGAGTATCCAATGACTACGAGCTAAGAAGCTCCGACATATATAGCCGATGGAAAGAATATGATTCGGACGAGCTGCCCAGGTGGGGATTAACCATTGGTTCGAGCTCGGTCCAAGCTCGGCCCAAGACTAACCTAGCTTGGCTCAAGTGTGGAATTCAAGCTAGTACCAACCTTGGTTATTCCTTGATTGGTAATGCTAATTCAAGCTTGAACGTCGAGCTTGCATCAACCTTGATCCAAACTTGAAGGTAAAATCGAAGCCGAGCCTGGTATTCAATTCTTAACCAGTCTTTCAACTTATCTAGCAATCATTGATTAAAATAAGGGAAAAAATAAAATTAATTCATTTTTTATCATAGATACAAGTCAATTTTGCCTCTATTCATCATTCCCTGACGAATTGATCATTGAAAAAATCTAATTAATGAACTTAAAAATTGACCCGCTACAACCGAGATTGGAACGCATGACCCTAACATTGCGAAACCTACGCCTTACCACCAAGCTAATGTGCACTTATAACTTGTGGGTTTTAATTGTGCATATAAACTCTATGTCAACTTTATAGAAACAATGTTGTTGAATAACTTACATCCGTAACTATCTTCTTAATTTACATTATTCATCGACATAAGTTACTTTTTCTCGTCCCCC